CTAGAGTTCCCTACTACCCGCCCTTAACTTCGCTTATAACTCGTCTTAGCACTCTTCTATTAATATAGCACCGTTAAAAGTAGCCCTAGGCTAAGATATCTAGAACCCCCTATTACTGCCCCCGACTAATAAGACCGCTACTACTAGACCCGCCGCTAGAGCTAGGGAACTTATATAGACCGCCTAGGAAACCTAGGAAGATACTAGGAATACTGCTACCGCCGCTTAAGAACGTTAAAAGGAATAGGCTAATAGGAAATAACGACTAACTAACTTTACTATTAGTAACCGAGTTTTTCTTAGTAGGAAAGGCTTTACTATAAACGCTCTAACTACTTAGCTAGATAACTAATAGTTAGGTCTGTTTATAATCCTAGAAAAACGCGGTTAGAGCTATATACTATAGCTGCCTAAGTCGTATAAAATAAAGAACCTATTCTACGCCGACCGTCTTCGAAAAGCGGCTAATAACCCCTTACCCTAGTAGATCTAGACACCTCCGCTACTTAAAGAGATTAACGGAGAACCTAAGTAAGAGGTTAATTAAGTCTAGTAGTCTTAAGTAACTAGTAGGAGTCGACGACTAGAATACTAGGTCTTATAGAAGGGATATAACCTTAATAAGACTTAGTACCTAGCTAGGAATTTCCGTAATATACTAATAGTATTAAAGGTATTCTACGATAAATATCTAGATATAGTAGGCCTACCCGTTAACCTATAATACTAGATCGAATATTCTATAGTAGAGGAGGGCTATAAGGAACGAGACGATAATAATATAGTAGAGAAAGCTATAAAACTAAGAACCCGCCGCTACGACTAACTACCTTAATATATATATTAAGGCCTTAAACGGGGGGTAGTATTACGACCCTATGCGCTAGCGTAGAGATACTAGCGTAGAACCTTACTAGTATTATATGTCTAAGTAGTATTACGTGCCTATATACGACCTCGTGCTTACCTAAGCGCTGCTAAACTAACCTTATATATATATATATATAAGGGCTAGCTCGGTTATATAGTCTAGTCTTTCTTTCTTACTCCTTAGCTTTAAGTCTTTATTTATAGTACTAATATATCTTTATAGCTATTAAGGCTTATATATACCTAGCTATAATATTATTAAATAGTTAAATAGATATAAAAAAGGACTCTAATAAAGCTTCCTAGCTAACCTATGCCTATTTTATTTATAACTATAGCCTACGGCGCGCTTCTTTAAGCGTTAGGCTATATAAGACCTCTACCTAGAAGATTAACTGCCCCTTCCGCCTTATTATAAAAGCCTCTAAAGAAGCTTTAAAGTAGGATTTTTAAGTTATAGAGGCTTCCTATAACTATAGGCTATCTCTTAATCCCTTAGCGTATAATATTTACCGTTATTAAACCGCTATATAGTAAGATCTTAAGCGTAACCTCTCTAAATATATAGCGCTTCTAGCTCGATAGGTTTCTATAATCCTATAAGATAGCGAGCCTAATACTTCGTTTTTTCGTATTAAAGATATTAATAATAATCGTTAAAAGCTCCGTTTTAAAGCTCTTAATAGGAGGATAGCTACCTAAGTATTTATTAAGTATCTTTAAGTAGCTAGCCTTCTATACTTTATTAAATTTAACCTATATAACGAAAATAAGATTTAAGGCGTACTTTAGACCTACCCTTAGTATTAAAAGATATAGAAACGCTTCCCTAAGGTTCTTAGTCTTAATAATATATATAAAACTAACCGCTTTAAGCTCTTCCTCTTCTAAGTTACTAAGGTTACTAATTAAAAGTCCCTTATAAACTTTATATTTAGCTTTATTAATATAGAAAAGGAAGAGGGATACTAGTAGCTATATAATTCCCTTAACGAGCTTTATAAGAAGATAGGGGCAGCTAAGCTAGTAGTAGTTATTATAGATAAGGAAGCCGCGCTTAAAAAGGCCCTTCTTAATATTTTCCCTTATATATAGTAATAGCTATATATTTTTTATATTAATAGTAACGTTCGGGCTTAAATCTAGTCTTATTAGAAGGACCTAGCTAATCCTAATAGCACTAATAATTTTAGCGATATAAAGATCCCTTTAGAGGTAGTAGCTATCCTTGCCTAAGAAGCCGCTAATTAAGAAGCTGGTATTACGACCTAATTAAACCTTAACCTAGACGGAGATCTCGAATTTAGCCGTAAGGGTATATTTCTTACCTAGAAGCGCGTTATCTACGTATAAGAGGAGGCGAACTTTATAAAGGTATAGCGGCGGCTCGACGAAGTCTTCGGATAATAATACTAAGGCTATATCGTGATATATATTTCCTATAAATATATGCCTTAGCAGGAGCAATAGGCTTAATACTCTATTAGCTAGTATCGTAACTTCGGGCAATAAATAAATAGCGCGGTTAAAACCGCTTATAAGAATATAAAATCGTATTTACTAACGGGCACGTCTAACCTCTTATATCTTTATAATGCCCTTATTTAAATAATTAAAAATAAAGAGATTATATACACCTAAACAGCTGCCCGATAAGAGATACGACAACGCAGGCGCTTTCTTAACCAGCAGTGGCTAGGGGATATTAACGTTACACGGCGATCACTAGCTCGAGGAAATAAAAGGGGAAGGGGATTAAGAGGGGGACGCGGTAATGGGGGCACGCCTCGGGCTTCGTTAGGGCCGCCCGCTTCGTCGGGTGCGGCGATAACTTCGTCAGGGCCGCCCGCGGCGATGGCTTCGTCGGGCGCAGAGTGGGAAGCCATTGAGTGGGCGCCGCCGGCCACATAGCCGTAGGGGCAGCCGGGTCAATTAACGGGCCGATTGTTGCAACTTCGAGCTCGAGGCTCGGAAATGCGTTATTTGAGCGAATTGGCCCATGGCCGGCTTGTGGCTGCGAGCGCTGTGTATATGTATGCGATGCCTTCAATTGCGTGTGGGTAGGCTGCGTGTATGGACGAGGGCATTTGGTCAGTACGGGTACTTGCCATGGCGGGCGCGGTACAAGTGGTGACAAGAGCTGGCGTTGGTACGTATCTTTAAAATGGGTCCGTTTGGCAAATACGGAGGCAGCCTTCAAAAGTTATCGGCCACGCTAAATTAGACCCTATAAGGAAAAAGGAAGTAGCAAAGTAAATAGAGTGCCCCGCACGCGATTTTCTACGGCAGCCGCCCCTCCGCCTTTCTTAACATTCCCAATAACAATAAGGCGAAAAACAGATATCGCGACTCGAGCCCTTATTGTGGTGCTTCGAGGCGGCGGGAAATCGGCTGCTAAAGTTACTGCCTTAACTAGCGTGCCTCTTAGAACAGTTAAATACATCTACACACGAGCTCTTTAACGCGGCTTTAAGCTAGATACGCTGCCCTTGACCCTTCGAGACGAGTGGCTCTAAGATGCCCCTCGTTCTGGCCGTCCCTCTAAGCAGCCTATAATCTAAGATGAGGTTCTTACGAAGGTTCGCCGCGATAGATACGGAAGGGAAAAAAACTGCGCTGATATTGCTGGCGAGCTGAGCTTAGCAGGGCACCCGGTCTTAGCAACGACTGTATGGCGAGTCCTCCGCTCAGCAGGCTTCCGGAAGACGAAGCCTACGAGGAAGCCAGGCTTAACGAAGAAGATGCGAAAAGAACGACTAGCCTAGTGTCTTATATACTAAGATTAGACCCTCGAGGACTGGAAGAGGGTGATTTGGTTAGACGAGACTTCTATTGTCTTGCTACATCGACGAGGAGGCTATCGTGTATAGAGGAAAGCCAACGAGCGCTTTACTTAAAGCTATATCCGCGAGAGATAGAAAGGCGCCTTAGAATTCATGTTCTAGGGCTGCTTTTTATATAATAAGAAGGGCCTAAGCTACTGCTAGGCACTAGAGACTGCTGCTAAGAAGAAGGCAGCAGATAAAGCTATTGCAATAATAAACGAAGAACTCGAACCCCTACTAATAGAGGAGTAGGAACTTAATAATGGCTTACGAAGACTATATCTCCGTTAACTTCCTAGACCTAAACCTCGATAGAAATTTAACTAGAAGTCAGGCAAGCTTGTATAAGGCTCTAAGCACGGCGGAATTGACTAGTTCCGCTACTAGAAGAAGATTCTTCTTCCTAAGCTCTTTCCCTTTACTAAAGAGTGCGAGGCTGAGCTTTCTAGGACGATTATGCAAGAAGATAAGGCTCTTGCCTATAAACACTATATTTAGCAACGATTCTATAATTCTCACGATATTTAACGGCTTTATTAGTGCGGCAACTCGCCTAACCTTAACGCTATTAAGCTAGCTTAGCTATAGATAAAAAGAACGACTATAAAGAAGGGCGCGCTAAAGAGCCGAGCTAAGGCTATCACGGCTTAGGATCTTGCTTAGAAGGAGCTACCGTAAGAGAAGATATAGGCTTAGATCGAACGAATCCCTCGTTATATACAGAAAATAATTAAACTTAAGGGCGGCAACGAATATCGCGAGGGCAGGCTAGATTAGGTATAAGCTAGGAACGGTGCTATAGTAATTTAGTTACTACTTCCTTTTTCCTTATAGGGTCTAATTTAGCGTGGCCGATAACTTTTAAAGGCTTCCTCTATAGTAAAAGGGCGTTTAGCAAATAGCAATACCCGTGCCACGCCCCACTTATTTCGCGTTCGTTCCTCACCAGCTCTATAAATTGGTCAGCACTCCCTTGTATTCTTACTTTCTTGGCACCATCTGTTAAGGACTTCGCTGTACACAACACACATCCGCTAACAAGGGCGTTTAACACCACGCTCAGCGCAAGCTGAGGGCGGCGATGGCACCCAACCCCGCGGACCAGGCGCGACTGCCGCCCCAGGAACAAGAGCCGATGACTCCACGAACGCCCCAGGAGCTAGAGAAGCGCTCCTCCGGCAGGCCCCACGCGCGGGTCTTGCCGAATTACTGTTGCCACGACGCGCACAGCAACCCGACGACTCTCCATTCGGCTCCACGAACAGCGACAATGCCCACACCGACACCGACCAGCCAGATGCTGTAATGGGAGACGCAGCAGACGAAACCGAGACCGACGAGCCGGACGACCTGCCCGAGACTCAAGGCCCAGCAGTAACGGTTGCCCACGCGGCAGAGAGACTTATCGCCAACCAGATGGAAGCACAACAGGCAAAGCTGGCCGTCTTCCGCGCATTCTGCACCGCCTTCGACAAGACGGCTGCCCAGTTCAACTCGGGCCACGAGCTCAGCTTCGCGAAGGAATTCTCGCGCGGCTTCATTAGCTACTGGGACGACGCGCTCAACGGCGCGCCCACACGCGCCGGTCAGAATGTCAACAACCGCCACGGCAGAGACGGGACCGCACCGACCTACGCCGCTATGGCCCAGAAGGGGATGGCACAGACAAGGGCTCCCCTGCCGGCACGCCTCGGCCCGAAGCCCCGGAAGGCGCCTCCGGTCCAGCCGCCTAAAGATGACCTGCGTGTCTTCGTGCGGCTCGACGACAAGTCCCCAGCATGGGGCTATCAGGGGCATGCCATCAGAGCTCACGTAGCTAAGACTCTCAACCTAGGGACAGAACGCATGCCACAGATCGCCCGGGTTAAGACTGGATGGGCTATACGGGCCTCAGACCGGGAGGCGAGGGACCTGCTTGTGGAACGGCAGGACGACTGGGCGGCCCGCCTCGGGGCCGTGGCGGGTGAAGGGGTTCAGAAGTGGCACACGTACGCTGTGGCCGACTGCCCCAGGCAGCTCACGGATATCTGGGGGGCCGCCGTGGACTATGACCAAGCTATCAAAGAAGAGATCAAGCTCCAGACAGGTGCCGAACCAATTGATGTGCACATTGCTAAGAGATACTCCGAAAGCTCCGACCAGCCCACTGTGACAATGATTGTGTCCTTTCAGGCGGCGATACAGAGGAGATGGCGGCTCTTCGGCACCAGCCGACTAGCCCGACTGATCGCCAAGACCGCCCGGCCCGCGCAGTGCGACACCTGTTGGGATTATCACTCCCGCTACGCCTGCGACCGAAAACAAGCCTGCCGACGATGCGGCGGAAAGACCATCGCGATAACGACTGCAAGCAGCCGGAGAGGTGCGCGAACTGTTCCGGGCCCTTCCCGGCAGACCATAAGAGTGCCCTGCCAGACCTAGGCGCTCACGGCCAACTCGTGCGGCTCTCCAAGATCGAGAAGTACGCCGTAAGGAAGATCGGCTCTCAGCTATACCGGCAAGCCAATATGGAGCTCGAACGGGCCACGGCGACCGCCTCCCCAACCCTCCCAAGGACCGACCCCATCGCCCTGCATGAGAGCTGCCGAGGCCCGCCTAGGCAAGCAACAGGACCAGCAGCAGCAACAGCAGCAGCAACAGCAGCAGCAATGTCGACCCCAGCGGCTGTCCCCCACCAGCGCGCAGGCGCCAGACTCCACAACGCTCCCTCCACCACAGGAAGACAGATCCGAGTCTCCTATGAAGAGGCGCCGACGAAACGTATCCTGGACCCCTATGAACAATAGGCCCCAACACTAACAACTCGCGACAGGAGGACGATCCGAGTTCTCCAGGCCAACGTGGCCAAAATAGGGGCCTATCATAGCATAGCCCTACGACTAGCGGAAGCGAAAACTACGACGTCGTGCTCATCCAGGAACCGAACGTTTGGATAGAAAAGAAGGCGGAGCCTGCAGGACCCAGACGCACCGCTCCTTCCACGCATTCGCCCCAGAACGCGCCTGGGAACCGGATCAGGCCCGAGAGTGATCTCGTATGTCCGGAACCACCCAGATATACGGGCAGAGCAACTCTGCCCCGCCCTACGCGTGATATCCTGTGGCTCCGGGTAAACAGCACCCTTATTATCAACTTCTATCGACACGCGAAGACACCGAGCCACTCGACTACCTCCTCCACCAGCAGGACGTCCCCGAGAGATGCCTCATCGCGGGCGACTTCAACGCCTGTCATTTCTCCTGGCAGCCTGGAGCCCGGAGTGCGAGGAACGGAAAGGACATCGCCCAGTGGGCGGCCGACAAGGCTCGGACTGCTCACCACGCCAGGCGAGGCCACACACGCCCGCGGAAATACCATTGATCTAGCCTTTGCCAATATCCCTCTGCGGACGCGCTTATCGAGGAGCACCTTCATACCGGCTCGGACCATTACACGATCAGCATTACGCTCCCCGGCGGATTCCCCCAAGGACGATAGCTAGACCAAGGGTAAGCTCCGAGGAAGAAATGAAGCGATTCGAGGAACTTGTGCGGGCTGGGGCCACAGCACTACCCCGGCTGGCCGTTGAGCCCAGAGGCCTGGAGAGGCTGGCCGAGGCGCTGTCTCGCCTACTCCAAGAGGCGGCCGACGCAGCGGGCCGACGGCCCAGGAAGAACGCGAGAGGCACCCCATGGTGGAACGATCAGTGCGCCGGTGCAGCGGCCGAACTAAGAGCTATGCGGCGGATCTACCCCACAGGGCACGGCAGAGAGGTCCAGACTGCCCGGCGGGAGCTGCGCCGGGCGGTACGGCGGGCTAAGAGACATTTCTGGCAGACTGTTCTAGAAGGCGCCGAGAGCAACCAGGATATCTATAAGATCATGCGGTGGTCGAGGAAACCGAGCCGTTCCGGGCCCCGCCTATACAGGTAGGCGACCAGGTCTTCGAGACCCAGACGGAAAAGGCAAACGCGCCCGAGTCGAGATCCTAGAAAGGCGCGGGGCCGCGGACGACATCCCGGACCCCTGGGCCCCAGAGGTGCTGGCCCCAGGAGGACTCTCGACTGCAGCGTCACGCTCGCGGATGCGGCATGCGCCTGCACCTCTACGGGCAACACCTCCCGGGGATCGACGGCATCACGGTCCGAATGCTGCGTCGCGTCTGGAACCACATCGGCGAGGCGGTGAGGGAACTATATGAAGGCTGCCTACACGTGGGCTACCACCCCGCCTGTTTCCGCGCAGCAGAGGTCGTAATGATCCCTAAGCCTGGCAAGAGGGACCTGTCTATTCCGAGAGGCTGGAGGCCGATTTCTCTCTAGCTTGCCTCGGCAAGGACTCGAACGCCTAATAGCCCGGCGCCTAGCCTGGGCTGCGATCACACAACGAGTCATCCACAGCCAGCATGCGGGTGCCCTGCCCAAACGTTCAGCGCTCGACCTAGCGCTAGCATTGCTCCACGACGCGGAGACGGCCTCACCGAGGGAAAGTCGCCACGCTAATCACGATGGATATACAGGGCGCCTTTGACACGGTTCTGCGGAACCGGCTCCTCCTACGCCTACGGAACAGGGCTGGCCAACAAACCTGGTCCGGTGGGCAGGCTGCTATGGAGCAGAGATCGGCCAGAATACGGCTCGAGGATATAACGACGCCGACAACCCCTGACGTGCGGGCTGCCACAGGGCTCCCGGCCTCCCGATTCTCTTCCTCCTCTATACAGTGCCCATCTACTCGACAGGGGAACCGAACTCGCGCTTCGGCTACGCAGATGACGTGGCCACCCTGATCCGGGGCCGGTCCCACAGGAGACGGCCGCCCGGGCCACGCGCGCCGCGGGTGAGCTCATCCAGTGGGGAGCCGATAATGGCGTAGTGTTCGACCCGGGCAAGACAGAAGTCATCCACTTCACGAGACCGAGATACAAAGGGGACCTGCCGTCGGTCTGGCACGGGTCCGTAGAAAGGAGCCACAGCAGGACCTGCGCTGGCTCGGCGTCTGGTACGACAGAAAGCTCTCATTCCGCACGCATGTGGAGAAGTGGGCCGCGAAGGCGATGACGGCCGCAGGGTTCCTCCAGAACCTCTCAAACACCCGGCGCGGAATCCCTCCCCGGTCGACACGGCATGCGGTCACGGCCTGCGTCCTCCCGATCCTTTTATACGGCGCCCATGTATGGTACCCGGGGGCGCTTCGGCCTGTGTGGGGGACTGCCCGCTTAGTTCCGTCGCGGATCACCTACCTGAAGAATAGGATCCAGCTGACCTTAAACGTCGCAATGCGCGCTATCGCGCCCGTCTGGTGTACCATGCCGATTGTGGCCCTCCACCGAGAGACCGGCATCCCCCCTGCCACGCTGCTCCTCGCAGACGCCCAGAGACGCGCCGCGGTCCGTCTACGCTCCCTAGATGAGCGGCACCCCTTGACCCCCCGTATGAGCATCCTCCCAACGCCTGGCCGGGAGCTAATGAAGAGGCACGGTATGCGGGCCCCTCGCGCGGCCCAGAAGCAGCACGCCTCGAGACTCCTGCGTCTTCACCAAATGACGGCCCATGCTCCGAGGCCCCGACTTCTCCCCCCAGCACCCCCTCAGCCCGACCCGACAGGGGGCGTAGACAAAACGCAGGCGGCTCGAGACTTCCACTCGTGGCTCCGGGTATGCCCTGAAGATACCCTCATCGTCTACACTGACGGCTCGCAGAGCGAAGACGGCGCCTGCGGGTATGGGTACTCAGTGTGGCTAGGCCCTAGCGAAGTGACCTACGGCAGCGGTCGGGTCCTACTCGCTGAGGTCTACGACGCAGAGGTGGAAGGCGCCCTCGAGGGGCTTCGAGCGGCACTCACGTGGTCCCCCAGAACCCCGGACCAGCAGTGGCCGATAGTCGTCTGCCTTGATAACACTGCGGCTATAAGAGCCATACGAGGCAGCCCATCGATCTCGTCGCAAGCGGCTGCGGAGAAGTTCGCTGAGGCCGCGGCTCGACACGGAGATGTCAGCACGCGTTGGTGCCCCGGCCATACGGGGATCGCCGGCAACGAGCGGGCCGACCAGCTAGCAAAGGAGGGCTGCCGGGCCGAGGTCCGGACAGATCGCCGACCTACGCGAACATCAAGAGACAGGCCAAGGCTGCGGCCAGGCGCGACTTCCAGGACTGGTGGGCCGCGGGGCCCTGAGCAGCTACAAGAGCCTAGAGCTCAAGGCCTCGCTCGGGTGCCCCCGAGCTGCACACCAAACGAGAGCACCTCCATCACCTGCTCGCTGCGAGGAGCGGGCACGGGGACTTCGCCGACTACCACGAGAGGTTTAACCACGAAGAGGCCCGGATCGAATGCTCTTGCGGGAGGAGAAAATCACCGACACACCCTTCTACTGCCGGAAGGTAGGTACTCGACACCGCCTAAGGCTAGCCCCACGGCGGGCAAGGCTATCAACCAGGCACTAGGAAGGGATTTGACCGGTTCCTCGGGCTAGTAACGGAGGCAGAATTCTTTGACCGGATCTCCCACCGCCACTAGCTCGAGGCAACCCTCCAACCTAATATGTACAACTCTCTTTTCTATGTTTTCTGCCCGTAGGCTCCTGTGGGCCTACGGCCCAGCTGACTGCGTGGGCTTTCTCAGTCACCCGGCTCTGACCGAAGACTGACTAATATTACAGCTTCGCCGCCGTGCCCGGAACCCGCTGACGGGGAAGGGACCTGAGAATCGAGCGGCCACAGAGTCCAAGAATTGCTAGATAGGGGAGAAGTAAGGAACGCGCGACGGGTCTCCGACGAGCATCCCCATCTTGTACTATACCTAGCCTAGCACGTCTTTTGCCCTTATAGGGATGTCCCAGACGGTAATCAATACTACTACTACTACTACTACTCTATAAATTGGTGCTAGACACCGCAATAGCTAAATTTTCGACATTCGACTCCTCTAACTAAAATCGCTTCAGCTACCGCGTTCCGCGCTCAGAATCGCATATTTCTACCCTAGGCAGCCTTCTAGATGCCCTCTATCTACGAGCCTTTTTTGCTGCTTCTTTAAACTATCGCTTACGTGCACTGCGTGCCTTTAACTCCGCGGCCTCGATTACTTTTCTAGCCTTAGCGATTTAGTCTTCCTCCCTTTTCTATACTATTTTACGCCCTTAGGCTACTATTAAAACTCCCCTTAATTGCAATTGCGTGTTCTTTATCGCCTTACGTTGTTGTTAGATGCGTTCGGCTATTCTAGTCCTTCCTAGATCTCTTTTAGTCTATATAAGTTCGGTAGCTAGAGATAGCGATCCCCGAATAAAGCGACCTAAATCGCGAGAAAATTCGGGATTTAGGTCTTCGTCTTCTTAGAGTACGATCTCGAGTTTATTAGCTACTTTATTTATTTGCCGAAGAGTTAGTAGCGTCTCGAATAGTAAAGAGTACGGTTCTAAATTAGGAGGAGGAGTAGGCGTCTTTTTCGTCTAACGAGCCTCTAGCAGCCGGAGTATAGCTTATAGATTCGGTGGCTAGATTCCCGTTTTTCGGAATATAGAGCGAATAGTATTTTATCTAAAGGCTTATAATCGCACTTACTAAATATAGGAAAGAAATTCGAGCTTAGTTATATTAATAAGGCCGTTTCGAACTATTACTTCTAACGCTTTAGCGTGGTAGTGCTTTAATAGCTAAAATACTATAATATCGAGAGGCTAGAGTAGATACGTAAGATTCGGAGGCATGCCGAATAGAATAATCCTATGTTCGTCGCAATACTAAATAAACTATTTCGTATAGTAGGAGCTATAGCCATCGAGAATTAGCAGACGCTTCGAGCTTCTCGAGGTCTTTGCCG